CATCGCCTTTGCTGGTAAGGCTGATTGCTTGCCGTGCGATTGCTTGTATGGGCACTGTGCTAAGGTGGAACACCAAGGGGAAAGATAATTGTCCGTAATTCGCTGTGCAACTCGGATTTGTCGTGAACTACGCGTTCGCGCGACCTCCAAAATGTTTTGGCACATAAACATGATCCTTGGGTACTACTACTGACAAATTTAAGCCTGTTCTCGTTCCTAGACAGTGGTCCTCTGGCTTCTAATGCACAACGCACCTCCGGCATGGAAGTTTGAGATCGGCCTCAGTCAGTCAGTCAGTCAGTTAGCCGTATTTCAACCAAAGAGTTAAATGTGCTTACTTTTTCTAGGTCTGTGACAAAAGTCAAAGATGATGTCAAATTGGTTACAAACCCTGGCTGTATAGTGTATTCACTAACCTGTGACAAGGGGTGCATTTTTCAGCCAAGATTACTGTCAGGAGCGATATTATCCGCGAATTTTATGTTATTCCGGCAATTGGTAGCTACAATACAGCGACATCCTGGAATACTGTGTCAGAACACTACTGGGAAATCGGGTTAGCGGCTGTAGTTACCGTTGCGCATTAATGTTGTTGACTGCACGCGAGTGCATACACAAAATGTCAAGGGGTGGAGTACTGTACGGCTCGCACCCGTCAGTCAGGCGTACAGATGTACTTGTACAGGTTGGCAGTAAGGGTCGCATTCCGATTCCCCGGTTCGCACACTTCGCAACTTCTAACGAACATAAAACATTATTGATGCCCAAGACGCAGTATCGGACGTTACTGCAGTAAGCGGTAGACCCAATATAGGGATTGTAAAAAAATCCTAGACAACACTTTCTTCCACCATACCGCTGATACAGGATTACGTTAACAGCGGAGGGGGGTTGTGGCACAAGTGCTGAACCTGTGTTCTCGTACTGATTAAAACGTTCGTGCTTGGAGGCAATAAATACGCAAAAATTGGCTGTTCTGGACGGATAATGTTCATCCACTACGACAAATCGGAATGGCTGTGTTATTTGTGCAACCGAGACCGGCGAGATTATAGGAATCCCAAGAGATAAGGGATGTCTGTCACTTGGAAGACTGCCTGTGGATGGGATAACTGGGTCCGCCTTTGGAATGAAGATCAGACGAAGCTCTGAACCCGAGCATGGCACACGTTTGACTGTGAATTCACGTCACGTTTGTCACGGTGGCTAAGCTTATTCCCAACCCACTTGACCCAGACACGTCACTGGTATAAAGGAGAGGAAAGAGATTGATTCAGTCCGAATCTAGCGACTTATCACTCGCATACAACAAACAAATACGTTTTTCAACTATCTCGACTGGGAAAGTTACCAACCAAGTACACCGTCATCACTTGAATAGCAAGTAATATAATTTTACCTCTGACCCTAATGGAGCTGGAAACTAGAAACAAAGTTCCGTACAATCGTCTGTTCAGAACTGGAACGTCTAAGGGCTAGACAGAGTAGTATAATGAATGGTGAAATAAGCAATAAAAACCGATCAGAGGCAAGTGAAAGTGCATATGGGATTAACTTCATGTTTATCATACTTTATTCCCTGGACTTGACGCCGGGGTGAGGGGCGGAGAAGGGGCTGATTTATGGTGAGCAGTGCAGTATCAATCAACCCAATAGAAATAATGATAACGCTTATCAGATTTATACTAGAAGATAAAAACAGGGCGGAACTTACCTTGAAGAGGCTTGTGTCAAGCACTTCATTGCACACATGTGTGAGGGAAGAGGAACACCTTAGGCGTTGCAGCACGTAGTCACATAATTCTTCATTGCTGTACACATCCCAGATGCCGTCACAGGCTAGGCAAAGGGCTTGATCTGCTTCTGGCATCCGCTCAAGGCAGGTGACGTCAGGTTCTGGGGAGACCAGTTGGTCCGATGGTGGTGTACCCTTAACTTGCTTGTAGTCGAAATCCCCTAGAGCTCTGTAAAAGGAACAAGGCAGATGGTGTCGTCAAAACAACCAAGGTGAGCGAGCGCATGGAAATCCTGTTCTTAGGCAGACTAGGTGCTATTACTAAACCTGTTGACGGCCCGTTTGATAAGTAAATTTGTTGCGAAAGCAGGTGACAATTAGGTTAGTACTCCTGATCTCTAAAACCTATATTTCTGTTATATACAAAAACTGTTTATCTACCCCAATGAAGAAAACTAGCATTTAAGGTTTTCAGACTAGAACATGTCCCTAGGTTCGTTTATGGACGAATTCACTAACGCTATGGTTGGTCTAGGCTTTTTGTATCCCTAAAATCTACCGGCTACACCGGCACCTGATTATAAATGCAAGCCTGTTGTTGACAATAAAGTGAACCATAGTGGTAATGGGTACCAATACGCAGAGGAGGGCATGTAAATGAATCCCAAAAACCTAGGGGAAAACAAATGCATCGTTTTAAAAGTCAGCTGCCTTAGGTCGAATCACCCAAGATCTCACTATGGCTCACTTAAGACGGCAAGAAAAACAGGACTGTCAGCATACTCCATTCTACTTAAGAATGCCTATTTATTTGGAGCTAGCATTACCCCGTGCCTTGCAATCACGCCACGGTCGTAAAGATCATGCTAATCTTATGTGAAAAGTCCCAAATATGGACGATTGAACGTGGGTGGTTCGAGTACTTGACTGTAACTTACCTCATAATGATTGGTTCTGGATTTAGGCAGATGAGCCTGTAAAATAGAGGAGAATTTTCTACCATGCAGAAAGCACATAAAGGGTGCTACGATTCCCAAGGCTGGCACAAGGAAAAAGACCAAGTCCCCCCGCCCCCCGCAATACTATTTATATAGACGGCCTTATAGGCAATGGCACGTCAATACGAACAGTCCAGACGATGAAGACTTGCCTGCTTTTGAAACGCCAAAGTTGTGGTTCTTGTGGCCGTTCCTTCGACCCGTGTGCGAAGTTAAGCGACAGTAAAAACAGACAATGTGGTCGGTAAAATCACCCACAGCATTAAAGTAATGCTAGATGAGGCCTCCGAAAAAGGTTTGCAGCATGCTATTCCCTATTGGTTACTATTGCAAACTAATCTAAGTCTGCTTATTTTAAGCAGCGTAATTAGTCTACTCATTAAATAAGTACCACTGGTATTTTAGCTCATTAAGATGTATTAAGAAGCGGAAATTTTATTTGGACTTGGTATCTTCTGTCGAAGTTATTCTTCAGAAGATAGCTGGTGTAAGCAGTTTTAAAAGTCCAACTATTCTCAACTTTCTGTGGCGTAGACATAACCGATTTTACTGTCATTCTGTCTAAGTCTACATACGATGGTTGGAACGGAATTTCAAATGAGGGGATGTGAATTCCGTATTGTTTCGGGGTCTGTTTCAATCTAATACGGCATTACTATCTTCGATTTGGCGTTTTTTTCAATTCGTCTGATCGTAGTGAGCGCAGATCATTACGGAATCAGCTCAATGCGGCGATTCTGATTACTATAATGGAGACTTGCACCAGCGACCTCAGTCGCTCTACACGCTTCAAATTCCAATGGCAAGCGTTTGTTCTAACTACGCACGTGTTGTATTAGTCCCGCAACGCCCGAATTAGACTGCATTAACTAGTCCTATTTTATCATGAAGAGACGCAGTCATTGCAATCAGTCAGCGGAGCCGTGCTGGCTTGCGATGTGCTAGGCCTTTGAACAAACACGTTAATAGCACCTTGAAAACTTAAAGATCCATTCGAAGTACCAAGCCAAAAGTTTTTCTGCCGCAGCGATGGGGTAGGTCACTGTCGTGATTGCTTTAAGTTTGTAAGATTTGTCGTGGTTAAAAAAAATCACGCCGGGTAGTTAGATTTCCCTCTTCCCCTTCTTTATTATCTTGTAATACTGTGAAGTCCGAGTCTAGTCCATAAAAAGCGAGGAAGGAAGTGATGGCGAACGTGGCATAAAATCGCGTAATACACTCCAAAGCCTTTTTTGAGGGTCCATCACTGTAATTCAGCGAATAGACAACCTCCTTACATATTTTCCGCACTTTTGAGAAAACTCGAAATATGCACCCCGGTTTAATATCTTGCGCATTAAATGGATCATAGTAAGAAAGACTTGCGCGGCAGCAGCTTTCCTTTCCAGTATGGAGGATTTTGCTCATTTCTTGGACAAAGCCACTTCAGTGTAACTCTGTAAGTGCCATACATGGCAGGAATGGATCATTACGGAAACAATAAGATTGACGGCTGGTGAAAATGCGAGAATATAATAGAAGACACCACCGAGCCTTTGGGTGGGACTTAACTTCGCCGCAGTGGGAGAAAGTAGCAAACACGAATTCAGGAAGACAACACGTGTGCACCAAAAGTAATTTAGCGGATTCAAAACAAAGAAGACGGTTCAAGTTCAAAGCCAAAATTCCAAATCGAATTTCGTTCTGAGATAGGCCTACGCAGCGGGCACAATAGAAGGACATAAAGTTGTATTTTACTGGTCTGCAGTGCAGTAATGCGACCACCGACTGCCTGAGTCAGAATTCCGTATAGTATAGATGCATTAACCAGCACCAACATCAGATTCAAAAAATCGCAAGCGGAAGATACTGCGCAAAACTAACCAATTGTAAGTATGACATGGAACGCGTGGTTTATGTATTGCCATTCTTCGAAAAGACTGACTGCAAAATAACCACCTTGCTCGGAAACCAACAATAACGCAGTTCGCATTAACATACGATTAGTCTCTCGAGATCAAATGTTGACGCAATACTTTTGCCTCCCTTTTCAGTAAACGCAAACACCAAAAAGGTTCATTCATGATAGTAAGGTGGCTGTCCACGCTGTCATAAACCATTTTTATAGGTTTAGAAGTTACTTGTCAGCGTATAAGTCGTATGATTTGTGCAGTATGATAGGGGAATAGGTACCCTAGAATTTAGCGTGAGGCCTCTCTCATATGGATGTTTAACTATATATCCTGAGGGAAGTACAGATTACTGGAGTTTCATTTTTAATTGATAACCATATGAACCTTATTCCAGACCGGTTTGAAAATAGGCATGACTGACGGCATATATTGTCACAAATGGAAAATCCGGTCACCCTTTCGACTACTAATAGTCCGTCGCTATGCGACCCCTGGAAGGACTCGACCTGGCGAGACTAAGACTAAGCAATGTTAAGATAAATACAGAAAACAAAAACTGTATTTCTAAGTACCCCATTTGGTGTAACTAGGCAAACGTCAGTAAACAGCAAGAAGTCGAAAATCAATGCGATAGAAGAGAATGGTCGTGTTTAATTGGTCGGTTTTAACCATTGTCCGCCAATTCAGACGGAAACATTCTTAGGGTTTACCAGACAGCACTTGCTAGCCGTATGAGGCCGAAATACCTTAGCAAAGTGTCAAATATTTGCAACAGGTGTAGTAGCAATGCGATATAAACTAAACTAAAGAGGTGCAGTGGTGAGGCCTCAACACTAAACATGACAAAAATGTAGACAACGCCGACGGACAGCTCAAAAGAATTGAAGAAACGAACATATTTGCTTGCTATGGGTAAAGATATAAAACAATGTTTCGCATATTGGGGAAACCTAGTTAGCGCACATATGCGTAATACGGTAGATTACGTATTCCAAATGGCGAATAGAATTACGTACCTAGATACAGCCAATGATCCGTTGACGCGGGAGAGGATGACGTGGCCTCCAGCGTTGTTAATTCGTCGTCGCTCGCCTGGAGATGAGGGCTTGTGGTCTTCAGTAGCAAAAGAGGGCGAAGAATTTCGGAGAAGAATGCCCCTAGAATCTCCACAGTTGGCAAAGTATATGTGTTTGGGTGTTATAAAGGCAACTACTGCAGTCGAGCCTGACTTTTCAGAGGGGTTGTCGTGCAGTAGGGATGCATCAAACGCCAAAAAACCTTCAACGATAGCTGCTTTTATTTCGTCAATGGAGTGTTGCTTCTCAGACGAGGCGACCATATCCTTAAAGACCGGCGTGTCGAGAATATGTTTAAGCAGATTTGATGCACAGTGGCTGGAAACCTGTGCACCAGCGTGTCCATCAAACACGCCAAAGAAGGACCATGTCGAAAGGGCGCCGGGAAGTTCTAAAACAGCGACATGTGCGTCCTCCATCTCTACACGCCACCCTTGCATGCTACTCATACCGTAGGAAATTCCATTTCCCTTGCCGGATGCCGTGAGTTTCTTGGTCTCCGGCTTGTCCAAAAAGGCGCCCATAAGACAGGTGGCGACAATTTCTAGGAAGAAAACGGATCAAAATATGGAGGTTCGGAATACGCAGGCTTCGGGTTCAAACAGTACAATGGGGTGAGCAACGCGCAGTGAATGATTCAAGAAGTTCTGAATGGCTGCTTACGATCCACACTGTAAATTACGAACTTCGATTACTAATATTACTATTATATTCCAACTTGCGGTACTGAATACTGTTATTTAAACAATTTATTTTTGGGTTGAAGTTGCGCTACTCCTCTTAATGTGCTTTATAGTAACCGTCGAAAATGTGGATATCCGAGTGTTACCATTTGTTTAATAAGTGTGCGGACATAGAACATGTCATGTCTATGGCCGGCAGCTGCACCCATCCATTGTGGGAAAACGAAGGCTACGAAGCCGATGTCGTATCAGTTCTTTTAAATTAAATCCGATCCACGGATGGACTGTCAGTGCATCCCCAGGATCGATGTTCTTTTTTAAGCAGGAAGAACGACCAGTTATGGTAAAACTGAGGATGTTAAGTGTAATAAGCTTAAGAAGATATATTTGGCGCAAATCAAGTAATTTGCTATGTTAAACCCTGTATAATGTGCCACGTTACCGTTGGCATGCCCACACATTACACCGTAAGTATCATCAATTCCGTATACGGGACCAAATCAATCAGCTTACTGCGTACTGAAAACACTCTGTGTCTGCTCCTTAAGTCACGGCGCTAGTAATTTGTTATAGGGATACAACGAGATCCACCGCTTACGTTTAAAACTGTGGGTGAATTTGCGGTATTTTTCGGAATAACTGTATCTTCGGACCTTGGATGTTATGGTAGACCTCACAGCTCGGGAGGAAGAAAAATAAACCGGTAATAAAATTATTTATTAAATGTTGCCCGAGCTCGCCAAATTTTTGAAAACACAACGAAAGATCCTATACCGTAGGAAATATCTTTTGCCGTGAGTTTCTTGGCAGGACGGCTGCAGAAAAATCGGCGTAGCATATTAATGTTACGGAAGACAGATGCAAGTCTTATAACTCTGAGGAAAAACTACATGTGAAGCTAACCCAACCAGTAAGTAAGCAGATTTGAAAAATGACATGTAACGCGACGCGCACCCGCTACTTATATTCGGCGAACTTCAACATGCGCGGGAATTTGTCTACGAGATTAGTATAACCGCGAAAATAAACAATCGATGTTCAAATTCTTAGGGGGCATCAAGATTATCTGAACATAATTTTCACTTTCCTGTCGTACATTCCAATTCAGTACAAGTGCCTTTGATATGGAAAAGTATAAGTCATTAGGTATAAACTGCAAGACGGAAATGAGTAGGGCGTCACGATACTACTCCGGAATCTCCCCCCCCAGGCAGTCCTGTAAAGGCGAAATCCCCAATAACCCTATTTTATTATTTCAAGATCCACCTTGAAACCCGCATAATATTCTATCAGCCGCCAAAATCCTGACGAAAAATTTTTTTATTTAGTCAGCCCTCCTATATCGCAGCCACTTATAATCTCCCTACAATTGACGACGCCAGCTTCCGTTCCATTATTTATTGTTTAATCTCCAATTACTAATCAATGATTGTATTACGAAATTTCACTATCCGAGAGTGTTTATGTTCTACCATCGGACTGCGGCGTGTGCGTTGACCCTCGGGCATCATTAAAAGGAATGTACACCGTAAACATCCGCTGCACTAATGTCAGCTATTCTCGTGCTGAATTTGAATCATTTCACCGCCCGACGTTATTTATCTTGACTAGTCCCGATTATCCAATAATGCCAACAGCTATATTTATTCGTCAGACATTTTTTCAATGTCATTTCGATCCATAGCGTATATTTACTTTTAATATGCCCGTAAACAGGAATTATATAACCTAAGTTTTATCATCTCAGCCTTTGTACCTCCGAACATCGTGGATGCTGGTGTTCTATTTTATTCCGATCTGCTCCCATTGCTTTACCATCGCACGTTCTGTGATTTTTTCTCCTTCTTATTCACCAGTCCCGCCTTCGCTAAACATAAGACGGGCCTGTCCTAGTCAACCTCGCCCCACCTCTCGTAGTCGCCCATTCCGTACCTCCCAGTTCACTGCCGCCTTAGGCATGCCCTTCACAAAGTCATCGCAAACATTTGTCAAAGTTGTTGTGTCGACAAAACGGTTTCCCATAGTGAAAGTCAGGGAAGACAGAATAGGTTGGAACAGTTTTTACTGTAAGAAAAAGAGCTTTAAAACACGCATTACCAAGCGGTAAAAATCGTTTTTTCATTAGGCTAATTTTAACAATGTGTGTACGCTGTTGGGAAGCCTTAACTGTGGGATGCACGCTTACGACCAATCAAAAAAAATGGCGCACAGCGATTGACTTCGAGCTTGCGCACGTCTCAAGCAGCGAGTCGAACAGCAGCGTGGAAAAGGAAATAAGCGCATGGAATAGATTGTCACGCGTGAGTGCAAGGCTTGGGAGAACGAAGCGGGATGAGTCAGCACAGTTACGTCGGGCGCGGACTCCCATAGTACCCATGAAGGGACGATTGATGCCTAAAATGTGATTGAAAAACGGTCCTGAAGAAGTCGGTATATTCAATGACCGAAATGTCCGAGTTGGATGTATTGACAGGTTTCGATTGCAGAAAGGAGGGAAGAAGGAATGATTGGGATCGTAGGAAAGCGGCTTGAGGAGGGGAAGCAAGGGAAGCAGTGGGCAGTGGACCAGTGAGCTCGTCTGGCGAATAGTCAGGGGGAGTAGATTTGAGGCAGTGCACGCCCACGATCTCCTCCCGAGTGCAACACTGGATTTAGGAGGTTTTAATCCCTCGTGAGACAACCCGGAACGGGCCATTGTAGGGACGTTCCAACGGCCCACGTACTCTATCACGTCTGTTTTCATACATAAAAACAAAAAAAATAAAATAAATTTTTATATTTTAGGCCCGGAGGGCCTCGTCATTGCCAGAGGGTTCGTTATCAATTTATAAGAGATTTCGTTGTTAATCAGATCTTACTTACCATCTTACCACGCGTAACATACTACTAACTCCTGTTTTCATACAGCTGCTTACGCGCAGCTGTGACTAACAATTTTTTATTATTTTCATGATAGGACTAAGTTTATAATGAAAGGGCCCTTGGGCCTTGAATATATAATTAATTTTTAATGTTTCGCATTGTTCACCGAGAACTCACTCAAATGTGTGTCATGTTACCACATCTTTCTACAATTTAATATTGACTGTAACAATTATATAGTTTACTTTAAATTAATAAGGTCCACAAGGGCATTACTGGCCTTTAACCCCTCAAATATACATAGACTTTCGAAGACGTCACGATGGAAATGCATAGAGTGAGGTTGGACGTCCCTCGTAAATATAGATCTGATATGCTTTTTTCCAGTAGCTGAGCTGACAAGGTATGGCAGGTTTGAAATTATTTAAAGATTTCTGAATTTTTGACGAAGTGTTTGCAAGCCAATCAACGACTGCCAAGGTAGAATCGCAAATGATTATTTTGGCATCAAATTGAGTCTCTGCAACTTTTTACAAAATTTTACAGAGCTGGCTTCCAATACAAAAATAACAAGGATGATTATAGAAAGAGCCAATTACCGCTTTTCTAGTGTGCGGGACGATGATTAAATGTAAATAATTATTAACAGAAAACAAAGAAAAACATAGATGACTTGGGGAATGTACAGAATGTATAGAAACGCGATCTTATCAGTACAAAAGACAATGCCTGACAATGCCTTACAATAATCTATAACAAACATCGAGTCGGAAATAAGATACTGAGCCCAAGATTCAACAATACACAACACATCTGGATCAATCTCGAGAACCACAGGCCTTCCAAAGCCACAACTCAGTGCCGTCCAAAAGTCGACGAGCAGTTTGCACTGAATCAGGCGTGCTTTCACAGTAATTCCTCCGTTCTGTTTGCGCAGGGGTTCAGTAATAATAATAAATGGTATATTATTTAGTTAAGGCCTAAAGGACCCTTTCATTAGAAACTTAGTGCTGTAGTAAACAAATTCACAGCTGGTAATGACAGCTGCACGTAAGCAACTGCATAACCGCAGAAATAAGCAGCATGTTATGCATATAAAGCCGGATCAAATTTACAACGGACCGTCATTTAAGATAAAAACCAATAATATTAGGGAAGGAAAGTGAACTGGGAAAGGGGCAATGAAAACAAATCTTATAAGGGAATCGATAGCAAAGTTCAGTGAGCCACCGATTTCAAAAAATACATCAAGGAAAAACTACTTAAAGTGTTAATTAGATTAAAAGGGTATATGATGATGCAGTGAGATAGGATCGGGAGGTTGGGGGTTTGGAACGCTCCTTGTTGTGGGAAAAAATCATAAAGCATCATGGGGGTGAGACAAGTGGAGTTCATTGGGGACAACGGGAAGAAATGAGGAGGGGACAGTCGAACTCAAGAGATCATCGCCGAGATGCCGGAGATGTGACCAAGCAGACTGTAAAGTCCACCGACAAGTTGGCGAAAACACAAGAAACCGCGACGATCATCAACAGAGGCTCCGAGGACCACCGTCAGGGTTGCAGAACGGAGAAGATTTGGTATCATTTAGAAGTGATGCTTGACTCTGCAAAGGAAAACGTAAACATATTTAGAAACCACGTTAATATTTTGGGAAGAGCCTCAAATACTAGTGGGGCCCTTCTCAGAGTCCAGGAGTCTAGGAAACAGATAGAAAGGACATGATTTCTTCCAATTTTTAAATGTTTGCGTATTTTGCCTTTGAAAATCGGTAATGTAGAAGACAACCTAATTTAGAGTGGAATAGTATTCCAGATAATAAGGTTTATTGGTAAGACACTTCTTGGGCACCGTCGAAACCCTTGGAAAACAGGAAAAAACCTAAAACAAACCCCTTCTTTTGCCCTCAGATATTGGCTCTGTTTTTGTTTTATGCTTAGTCAATAGTGTGCAAGAGAGGGAGTTTGTTCTAAGTGAAAAAACTGTCTACAAAGGTACAATAATATCAAAATTGGAAAATAATATCCATGCAGTATATGTGTTAGAGGTTTCAAAGTAAGAATATTTGAGGTCTGGAAACATTCTATCATTTATGGACTTTTTATTGATCCTTCTGCAGAAGTATATTCAACCGCGGTCAGTTCGAAAAGTAACCTCTTCCAATTGAATAGATTTGCTATTTAGTTGTTATTTGTTATTACTTGTCCTTGGCCATCAATCATAATTTGGGGGCCTTGTTTTTGATGATTATTTATTTGTTTCCGAAAGATTTTGGTTGTCCCTTCAGGGGACCCAATTGCCCGCTGTTCTGCTGCTATGATCTTATTAGTTTCAATTTGCTAAGCTAGTTCGGGAATCTCTTTAATTCTTCTGAGCGTGGATAGATAACCACTTGATGGGTCTCAGAGTTGCTTTTTTAGTTTTTTAGCCGTTTGGAAGAATAATAGATGTCTTCCATGTGTCAGGAAAGAAACCGCTTGAAAGATATGCCAGGAATAGATCACTAAGCAGTCGGGAGAAGCTGGACACTCTCTTGATAACTGAGTTTGGAATATCGTCAGTTCCCGAAGAATGCTTGCGTTAGAACGCATCTGGAATTCGGAATGCCAGCATGGATGCCATGCATGAAGAAATAGAATGATCCTAATGGAGCGGGTGCAGCGATGGACGGTTTTAGGGCTCTGTCTTATCCTGAAAGATTGATTAAGCTCAATTTTTCCGCCATCCTATAGACAATCGAGGTGCGAATCGCTATGCATATTCCATATTTTCCACGGACCTTCCTCTTCGCTGAAATCTGAAGAAATATTTTAGTTCACAAACATGACTCATCTCCACGGTCATTAATACGAGGTCAAATGGGAATTTACACGCCTATATTCATATCCATATTCTTTAAGTCAGGGGGTGCTTTGACCATGGAACTCCCTTCAAAGCAAATAGTGACATCGGATAAAGTTGCCGTGTTCAAA